TGCGGGGTCCTGCTCTCCTCCAAAATTGGAGGCTTGCGGCGCTTCCAGCGCTGAGCGGGAGCGGCATCCGCGTCCCCGCTGCCTGCATCCTGTTATAGCGAGGGGAGCCCCGGCCGGGCTGTGAATCCACCTCCGCGCATCACCGCGCCTCCCGCATCCCTCCGAACGCGGGAAGAAACATCCCGGCGATACCCCGAATCCCGAGGAAACCCCCAGGCGTGCACCAAAAAACTTAACACCCTCCTACCCCTCCCAAAAAAACACCCCCTTCCAGCTCCCTCCCGGCACCCCCGGTGCTCCAACGCACACGCGGAGCATAATGCGATTATATAAAGTATTTTATTATAGCAAGGGGGTGGGCACGATTCCTTTGCGGTTTAATTACGGCATTTAAAGAGTTTTAAGCGCAGGCATAACTCGCATGGATCGCATTGCAGGGCTAAATTAATTCCGATGCGGTGGCAGCAACACGGGGCTCTTTCATTGCCACAACAGCCCGGGTCACCGCCCAGCCCGGCCGGGGGATTGGGTGCCAGCAGCCTCCAAACCGGCCAGGGAAAACGCCAAGATTCACCCCAAAACCAGGCACCTTTGCCCCCTGCCCTGTCCTGCTCCTGCCTGGATCCCGCCGGTGCTGGGGGAACTGGGGAAAGGGGCCTTTTTTTGCTGTTTTTTAATACAAAATCTTATTTCTGCCCCAACCCCTTCCCTTTTTTTTTTTTTTTTTCTCCACCTTATAGATCCCCCAATTAAAAATTGACAACAACCCCTTTGCCAAAGGTTTTCGGGACACCGGGAATGGAAGGAGGGAAAAAAGGTGAGTCTGGATCGATTATATATAGGCGCCTCATTTGGGTTTCGTGTGTAAAGCTCAGAACACGAGCAGAGGTCAAAATCGCCTCGCCTCGCCTCCAAACCACTCTTCCCCCCGCCAAAATTCATAAGGATCTTGCCGTTAATAACGCCAAACGGATTGCATGGGAATCCTTTCCTGCTTTCCATAGCTAATTCTTACATGGCCGGGGATGGCTGGCCAAAGGGATGTTGGTGCATTAAGCAAATATCACTGGAGAAAGAAGTTTCCCTTAAACTTTTGAGAGGGAATATTACACTGTAGTTTGTATTTGGGCTGGGAAAGAGGGAAAAGCGAGGGCAGAGCTGATCGCTTGTTGAATCTCCTCTGGCATTTTGCCGGGGATTGTATCGAAAAGACTAAAGTGCAGAGGAGAAACATAAAAATAAACTGTTTTGACAGAGGTGTCTCATGACTATGGAAGTAATTAATGGTAGAAGATTCTTTATTTTTTTTCCAAAAGCAGCAGGACACAGTTTGTGCCCCGGGTAGACGGACAGACAGGACTCGTTTTAATGGGACTCGAGATTTTTATTTTTAATATTGGAGAAAATAGAGAAAGGGATGATTTTCTTTTCCTTTGATGGGGGATATGTCTTTGTTTTGTTCTGTTACAGCAGACCAGACATTTTAGCCATTTGCACTCGGGTTTAGATAATGAAGGAATCTGTCTGCTCCTCTTTTTTTTTTTTTTTTTTTTAAAAGAAAAAAAAAAGGGAGGGGGGACACGTAATGTAAAACAAGAGGCCTTTCTCCCTGCCCAGCACACACACACGCTCGCCAGCTCCTCTTGTCCGTCAGTGTGAAAATCAAGCCAAGGCTGGAGCCACAGGACGGAAATGATTTCTAATTTCCCTCTAAATATAAATAGATTTTTTACTCCGGGTTAATTGTTGGTGAAAAGATTACATAAAGTGCCTAACAAAATAACCACTTCCTAGCAATCTTAGCAACCATTAAGATGGCTCATATCTCTGAAACATCCTCGCCTTTTAAGAGCTAATCTCCAGGGAATGCTTCCCTCTCCCCTCCGCCCCTCGTCTTTAATATCTGCCCTTGCCGAGTTGCTGCTCACCGCTTCCAAGAAATCTCCTCTCATTAGCAGCCAAGTCCTGCCTGCCAGAAACGCAGTCCCCCCTCCAGGGGACCGTGGCCCTTAATTCCCCGAGTAGGAGCTCAGGAAGGGGCTGGGGGTGCGGGGGTGCGGGGGTCCCCTCGCCCAGCGGGTGCCTGTGCCCGTAGGAAGCAGCTGACCCTGCAGTCCATGCGGGTGTACGACCCGCCGTCGGCCCCTCCAGCCTCAAAGGTGAGAGCTGCGGCCCCCGGCCCCCCCGAGTCCCCCGGGGGGGAGCCTGAGCGCCCGCTCTGCGGGGGGGCGGCTCCCGGCCTGTGCCGCTGCCCGCTGGCACCGGCGTTCTGTCCGTCTTTGCTCCCCTTCTCTCCTGCTTTTCTCTCTTCTCTCGTTGCTCTTGCTTCTTTCTCTTCTTCATCTCTTCTTCCCCCCTCCCTTTCTGCCCTTCTTGCCCCTTCTTGCCCCTTTTCGCCCCTTTTCTCTCACCCTTCTTCTT